CTTACCCTACCTTGCTCACTGGGTCAAGCCCACTAGGTTGTACTGATCTTGCCCTAACTACCCTCTCTCTGTCCTTTGCATCTGCAGAGGAAGAATGGCCTGATGGATCATGAGGATTTCAGAGCCTGTCTCATTTCCATGGGTTATGACTTGGTAAGTCACAAGCTGAGATTATGCTAAGGTTTGATATTTGATGAGACCCGATTTATGACAAGTTTCTATGTAAGGTAGTATTGGTTCATATCACAGGGTAATGTTTTTGACAGATCTTCTTGTTACTATATAAAAAATACTGTTGCAAAATCAAATACACATTTTTGTTGAGTAACTGGTCATGTTTCTTTCTAGTGAAGAATCAGAAATGTGGGGTTTCCTGGTGATTTTTAAAACCTTTTTGATACAATTCACATACTACAGTCAACCCACTTAAAATGTACACTTCAATGGCATTTAGAACCTAAGCCTGAAAGTGTATTTTCCTTTAATATTTTAGAAGGTATAAGAAAGATTTTAGTAATAAATCATAAGAAAAACTGACACCAACCATGGACTGTACTAATTTTTATACACCATATTTCTCTGTCACTTTTCCATGGGTTATTTATTTTTGAAACAATATCTCACCATACAGCCCAAGGTAACCCTGAATTTGAGATAATCCTCTGCTTCAGCCTTCTGAATGCTGGGACTGTAGGCATGCCCCCACCACGAGCTGTTGATTTTATTTAGTGTTTTTACTGTTTTGTTTTGCTTTTGAAGTGAGCCTTACTAGACAGCCCTGGCTGGCCCAGATCTCCCTATGTGGACCAGGTGAGCTTTGAACTTGGTCTTCTTGTCTCTGCCTCCCAAGTGCTGGGACCATAGGCCTGTGCCACCACTCCTGGCATTACTGGGTATTTTAAACATGACCTTCTTTGACTTCTCTAGGAATTTAAAATTAAAGCCAGCACTCCTTTCCACAACTACCTTCCGGTTTAGCAAGCTCACTTCCTCACTTGCAGTCTGAGAGGAGAGCCAGCTCTGTCTTTGAGCGCTCTTCCTAATTATGGAATGTGACCCAAGAAGGCAGCTCTCGTCACAAAGAGGGAGAGGACTTCTGAAAAATGGGAACTTCTGGCCTGATATACTGGCAGCTCTGAAAAATGTTCGATGACAAGGAACCCAAGTCACCACCAGGGGAATCCTTTCCAGAGAGAACTGAGTTTACAAACACCAAAGAACTTAGTGTCTCTTTGCCGCCTTGCTTCAGGGTGAAGCTGAATTTGCCCGCATCATGACCCTGGTCGACCCCAACGGACAAGGCACTGTCACCTTCCAGTCTTTCATTGACTTCATGACCAGAGAGACAGCGGACACTGACACTGCAGAGCAAGTCATCGCCTCCTTCCGAATCCTCGCTTCTGATAAGGTCTGCACCTAAGGATTGCCCTCAATTTTAAGTCATTTTTATAATCTTTGTGTGTGGGATGAGCACACATGTGTGTGTTCCATGGCATTGTGGATGTCTGAGGACAGCCTCAGGCATTGGTCCTCATCTTCCACCGTGTTTGAGACAGGGTTTCTCTTGTTCACCGCTGTGTATGCCAGGCCAGCTGGCCCACAGGCTTGTGGAGAGTCTCCTGCCTCTGCCTCCCATTTCATGTAGAAGTATTGGGATCACAGATGCAAGTTGCCATGTCTGGGTTTACGTGGGTACTGGGGATCCAAACTCAGTTCCTCATGCTTACACAGCAAGTACTTTACGCACTGGGCTGTCTCTCCAGCCCTCTGTCTTGGCGATAATCTCCTATATCATTTTTAGCCAAAAAAAGTTGCTAACAAAAACCATTCTGCTACTTAGGCATTTTATGACATCAGGTTGTTGGGTTTTTTTTAATTTTTATTATATATTTTTATTGTATGCATATAAGTTTTTGCCTATATGTATGTAAGTGCGCCACATGCATGTAATACACAAGGAGTTCAGAAGAGGGCATTGGATCACTTGAAACTGGAGTTGTTGATGGTTGTTAGCCACCATGTGGGTGCTGGAAGCTGAACCTGGGTCCTCTGGAAGAGCAGCTAGTGCTCTTAACCTCTGAGTCATCTCTGAGTTTTAAAGGTTGGACCAGTAGTGTTTGTATTATAAGAATGTGTGTGTGCAGACACACAGATGCGTACATGTGTGTGGGTTTATGTGTGTGTGTGTGTGTGTGCGTGCAGTCGGTTCTGTCCGTCTACCTTCCAGGGATCAAATGTAGTCTCTAGGCTTGTGCAGCGCATGCCTTTACCTGCTGAGGGAATTCACCTGCCCAACACTGACATTTTTAATATACGTTGAGCAAGGGGTTAATAGAAAGAGAGGCACTCAGGGAAAGAGTAAGTGTACGCTAGAGCGTGAGTATGGGCTTCTCAAAAGAGAGTTGCCCACATCTTTTTTTTTTAAAAAAAAAAAACTCTTACCTTCAGATTTCAGACTTACTTCATCTTTAAGAGAAGTTTATCTAACAGCAACTTATTTCCAAATTTTTAGTAAACAGAGTAAGAAAGTATCTCCACTTTCTAAAAGCACATGGTGCATACATTTGTCTTTAAATAAATACACCAGTTACATGAAGTCAAATAATGTCTCTGTGTTCTCTTTGGTGTGTGGTGTAAACCAACTCCACCCATCAGGTATGAAATTTAGATCATAGCATTTATTACCCACATTTGGCTCGGCTTGAGAAATATTGGTGAAAATTCTTAATTTGCTTTTATGATGCATGTTGAATTTCCTCTTGGGCTCAAAGCAAGACACGTTGTACATATTTCTCTCTACGAGAAAAATGCAGCTTTTTGTTTATTGTCTGGTACTATGTGTACCATGTGCACTAGACTCATATGTCTAATCCTTATAAATGTGAGAAATGCATAAACATTCACATGGATGTGTCCCGTGTTTTGTGTGACTGACTTTGCACCCTGTGTGTGTGTTTTCCAGCCTTACATCCTGGCCGAGGAGCTGCGCCGAGAGCTGCCCCCAGATCAGGCCCAGTACTGCATCAAGAGAATGCCCCCCTACTCGGGCCCAGGCAGTGTGCCTGGTGCCCTGGATTACACCGCCTTCTCCTCTGCGCTTTACGGGGAGAGTGATCTGTGATGCCGTGTCTGTAATCCCTGACCCCGTCAGACCACAATAAAAGCTGAGGTTGTCTCCTGGAAACTTTGACAAGTTTTATTAAGCGATTGGAGTGTGGGAGGGGCTGTGAAGATAGCTTGGTCTGTAAAGTGGTTGCCATGCAAGCATGAGGACTCAAGTTTGATTCCTGGGACCTACATTTAAAACAAAAGCTGGGGGTTGTGGGAGATGGCGCCACAGCTAAAGGCACTTGACCCAAAGCCTGGCAACCAATCCCCAGATCCTACATGGAGGGAACTGACTTCCCGCAGGTTGTCCTCTGATATCCCCCACTCCTGCCCCCACACATATGCACACACATAAAGAACTTGTAAAAGCAGAAACAGCATAGCAGCACATGTTTGTAAAAATCCCAGTGCTGGGGAGGTAGAGGCAGGAGGGTCCCTGAGTAAATAAACCAAATTACTTGAAAATAGGGACAAAGGAAGTGAAAAGGTGGAAAACCAAAATATCCAGGATTCATGATGGGGGGACGGCAACCACAAGTGGGTACTCTGAAGGTTTGGTGAAGGCCTGATATTTTAAAATATACTCTTCCTGTCTCTTTCTTATGTTTATGTGCTTATCCCAAGAGAACCTGTTTTGGGCTCTGTGCTTTATTTTTCTTGCTTATCCTAAGATTACCAGGACTTAAGTATAAATGATGCTGTCATGTCATGAGTGGAGCGAAGTGTTGTGAGATAGGCCTCCCAGTGGGGAAAACAGGCTACTCAGACTATCTTTAATAATTAATTATTTTCCCCAGATAGTATTTCTCTATGTAGCCCAGGCTGACTTCAAACTAGCAAACTTCCTGCCTCAGCCTCCCAGTTACAGAGAGATTACAGATGTGTGCCACCATGCCCCACTTTTAATGATTAAAAAAGCCTGACATTTTTGAGAGAGTCTCAGGATGCTCAGTTGATTGTAGCTGAGGATGGACTTGAACTCCTAAGCCTCCTGCCTCCACCTCCAAAATGCTGGGATTACAGGCATGTGCCTATGTATATGTGTGTATGCATGTGCATGTGTGCATGAATGTTTGTGTCCATGTATGTGTGTGTACATGTGTGTTTATGTGTGTATTTGCATGTGTGTATGTGTGTTATGTACATGTGATGGCAAGATGGTTGTAATCAGAGGACAATTTCTGGGCGTTGGTTCTCTCCTACAGTGTGGGTCCTGGAGATCTAACTCAGGTGGTCATGCCTGGTGACAGATGCCTTTACCTGCTGAGCCATCCCATCAGCCCTCTTAACATTTTTGAAGTAGAGTATGCAATCGTCTCCTCATTGTATAGGACTGGATAGTCCAATCCATGGTTTTGGTGTCTTCCTTGAGACTTGGGGGATAAAGAAAGCCAGTTCAGTCTTCAGACCAGAGGTGGAGGCAGAGCCAGTAAGTAAAACGAAGTTTCCAGGATTTCTGGATGTTGCAGAGAGATGGAGATGTGTAAGTACATGGCTTTTAATAAGGAGACAACTATAGTAGATACAGAGATGTTAGCCACCTTCTAGAGTTTCCGGCAGAATGCTCTTAGACCTTGAGGTCTGGGGCTATCACTGTCAAGCCAGAGTGAGTAAGGAGGGGCTCAGTCTTAGTCCAGGGAGAGGGAAGTTTCTCCTCTACAGCACCCTTACCATCCTTCGGTGCATTCTTCCTGGGAAGTCAACCATACTAGAGGCATTTGCAGGTCAGGAGTTCACACTTGGAGGCAGCAGCATCTCCACACAGAGTCGGACTGTGTGGTCAAGCCCCAGTCCCCTCACCTGTGCTCTCACGTGGTGTCTTGATTTGTTTGCTGTGCTTTCAGTTTTCCACTCCGGTTGTCCTGAACTATACCCCTCCTCCCAGCACACCACCGGGCTGACAGCTTGTAGATGAGGATGTGGGTCCTTAATGATCAGGAAGTGAGTTATAAACAAGAGGAAAGAGTTGCAAATTGTTAATAAAGTGTCACCAGAGAAGCAGCAACGTGCCTATACATACTTCTGTTTCCTGGAGTTTTTATGTTTCACAGACAGCTGAAAACTGTGTTCCATTTACCAGTGCTTGGAAACCCAATACTCCCTACACTGCTCCATTTAGAACCTTTGCTCTTGACTCATTTCAGTAATTTACTTCACTATTAAGTAGTGGTAGTTTGCAAATCCCTGAAACATTTGACCCCTTACAATGAATGCCAGATGCTTTGGGGTACTGTCATTTCAAACAGGTGCTATAATCCAACCAGAAACACTAGGGAGAAACAGGGAACTTGTTTTTCCTTTGAGGCTATTTACTAGGATTCCTGTTTTAGGGTGGGACTGGGTAACTCATCTCCCTAAACTTTTAACCTCTTTACATTAGCAAGATATCCAATCAATGCTAAGGATAAATGAAGAAGGGAATAAGCTCTGAAAAACAAAATGTTTATACTGTCATCCCTAAAGTTATTTTTTATTTCTGATAACTTACCAGTTAAACTTAATTTGTGAAAGAAGAGAATCCCTGTTTTGATTATTTCAAATAATAAACAATTGCTTTGGTGAACTGTGAACAAACATTCTCAGAATTTCCATCATATTTGAAAGCTCTTATTTAGTGTAGTATTTGCCTTTCTTAAAGAATGAGAGACTCGAGCCTGGAGAGATGGCTCAGCAGTTAAGAGCACTGGTTGCTCTTGCAGAGGATCTGAATTTGGCCCCACATAGTGGCTAACAACCATCTGTAACCAGCTGGAGGGGAATCTGATACCCTCTTCTGGTCTTTGCTGGCATTGCATGACATAGGTACACTTACACACATGCAGGCAAAACACTCATACACATAAAATTAAAAAACAAATGAGAGACTTTCTGGGGATGTGCCTCAGTTGGTAGAGTGCTTGCCTAACATGCATGGAACCCTGAATTTGAGCCTCAGCACCACATAGATCAGGTGTGGTATGTGCCTGTAATTCTAATACTTAGCACTTAGGTAGAAGCAGGAGGATCAGAAGTTCAAAGTCACCCTTGCCTACATAATGAGTTTGAGGCCTGCCTGGGTTATATAAATGAGTCTCTGAGTCTCTCTCTCTCTCTCTCTCTCTCTCTCTCTCTTCTCTCTGTCTCTGTGATGGGGAATTGGGCCGTCCCTATTGTGGGTGAGTGTTAAATGAGTTAGGCATATGTAACTAGCAGGTCACTTCAGAATTCCCAATAGATAGGAGATATGTATTTGTTACTTATATGTGCACCCAGCCCTCACTTCCAGGTTTCACATGGTAAAGGTCTGGGCTGTGACCTGAACACCTGTATTTATATAAACACCACAGGAATTCTAATAAGCCTCAACTGACAGCCTGTGGCTTAGAGGAAAGGTCATTGGTAGTCAAAAGTCTACAGCTAAGCTGGGAGTGGTGGTGCACACCTTTAGTCCCAGCACTTGGGAGGCAGAGGCAAGTGGATCTCTGTGAGTCCAAGGCCAGCCTGGTCTACATAACGAATCCAGGCCAGCCAGGGCTATAGGGAGACACTGTTTCACAAAAGACCAAAAAAAAAAAAAAATTCTACAGCTATTAGGAATCCTCACTGGAAAGGTTAATAGGAAGTTGTGCAACAGGAGAGGTCAGGCAAAATCTTGTGTTATCTGGATGGCAGTATGAAAATGCTTGGACATAGCACATACCTGTAATCCTGGCACTTGGGATCAGAGGCAGGAGGATTAACGTATGTTCAAGGCCAGCCTGGTCTACACAATTCTAGGCCATTCAGAACTGACTGCGTAGTCAGACTGTGTCTCAAAAACAACCCAAACTAAGAGCTGAGATGAAAGCTTAGATGGTTAGGACTTTCCTTGCAAGCATTATGACCTTAGTTCTATCCCTAGAACCCACATTAAAAAAAAGAAAAAAAGATCAAGGCTGGACAGTTGGCTCAGTGGTTAAGCGCACTGACTGCTCTTGCAGAAGACCTGGGTTTGGTTCCCAGTGCCCACAATAGTGGCTAACATTCATCCTTAACTCTGATAGGTAGAGATGTTGGAGAGAGCGAGCGGGTGGTGGAGAGCATGAGCGGATGGATGAGGCACCGAGGCACAGATGGAATTCTCAGCGGGATACAGCTTTATTTTGCATGGGGTACCTTTCCCTCGGGGAAGGGAAAGATGTCCGGGAAGGGAAAGATGTCAGAGAAGGGAAGGGAAGGGAAGGGAAGGGAAGGGAAGGGAAGGGAAGGGAAAGGAAAGGAAAGATGTCCACCCACGGGTTGTGAGCTGGGACTTTATATATGGGGGCTTTAGGGTGTGGAAGGAGGGAATGTTTGGGGGAGAAATCAGGGAGGGGGAAGCAGGTAGGATTAGGGTCCATGGGTTGTTAGCTGGGACTTTATATATGGGGGCTTTAGGGTGTGGAAGGGGGGAATGTTTGGGGGGAGAAATCAGGGAGGGGGAAGCAGGAAAAGCCTGGCTCCGTTCAGTCTGCCAGGTGGGATTAGGGTCTGGAAGTGTTTACTTTTTCTCTCTTAAGAGAAAAGCTTGTTGTGATAAACAGCTTCTAAAATCTCTGGTTAACAGGTAGAATCTGTTTATCTTATCTTTGGAGATCAGAGGAGAGTCAGACTGCTTCTCAGCAGAGTTTGTTTCCCTTGACTCCAAAGGTCAAGGTGAGGTCCCTGTTGGGGAGGGGGGAAACTGCTTCTATTTGGAACCCTAACAAACTCCAGTTCCAGGAGATCCCACACTGTCTTCTGGCCTCCATCAGAACCAGGCACACTCCTGGTACACTTGCATATATGCAGGCAAAACACTCATACACATGAAATAAAAATAAAATGTTTATAAAAATTAGGCGTGGTGATGCATGCTTGTAATCTCAGCACTGGAGGAGCAGAGAAGACTCCAGCAAGCCCGCTTGTCGAGTTCCAGGAAAATGAAACACCATGCTATCCCCAGGTGGAGCAGCACTTGAGGAAGGACAGTTAGGGTTAGCCTCTGGCCACCAAGTGCATACATGGACACACCATGTGCACCTGTGCACATAGGAACATTCACCTACATACATAGAACAAACTCTCAAAATGCTTGGC